ACAGTTGAAGAATTGTGCCTTGCAGAAGAAAAGATGTCTAGCGAGTTAAAGTGTCGTCAACAAAGGAGATAAAAGAGAGACACTAGTCAGAGTTTGCAAGTAAATGTGAACAGGGTGGGAGCTCAACGGCTCCAACGGAAGAGAACCTGGTCGATGCTTCCCAGTTAACGCCGAAAATGCTGCCCACTGCTACCTTGGCGGTGTCGGATGACAACAATGTAAAGATCGTCATCCCTTCTGATGCTTCGGCCTGCTTTGACACTTCTTTTGTCGAGGTTGTGGTTGACTCTTTTCCTCTCCCTAAAGACGAGCGCCAATCGGGAGGCTCAGCGCAGCGTAAACGGTCGAGTGGACAATAACCCGTCTTGTTCACATAACTTACGTCATTTTGTTTAGATATTTTCCACTTTACTTCATCTTACTTATTCGCTGTTACATGTTTGCAGGCTTTCTCTAGGGGTGCTCACCTTTAGCAATTGCTTAACTTGTAGGAACGAAGATGCAAGGAGTGGGAGCAGTGCAACAAGGAACTCACGGATGCAACCTCTAAGATAGAAAATAGGCTCCGTGTGGGTCACGAAAGAGAAGCTCGACTAGAGAAGGAACGAGAGGACTTCGCTTGGCAGCTGCAGAGTGCCCCAGCTGAATGGGATGCTGAAAGGGCCTTACTCCTCTACTAGCTAGAGGATGTCTCTGTAAAGGCGGTTCTGAAGACTTGCTCAGAGCTCATGGAGGAGTATAAAACGAGGAAACAAGATGAATGGGAGCCGGACAAGGATATAGAGAAGTATAGAGCTTTCCTTGTAGAGCGAGGCCTTGGACCTGAGCTGGACATCTGTGTGGAGGAGACCAATACATCAGACACTGATGCCGGTGGGTTGGTTGGAGGGTCACAGGAGACTGTGGACGGCAAGGTGGCGCCAAGTGAGAAGCTAGCAGGGGGCGATTCAAGGCCTAGTGGATCTGCCTCTAAAGAGATGTAAACGTTTGTAACGCTTTTCTTTTGGCACCAAGCACGTCTTTTGTAAGCGCCGAGCGCGCCTTTTGTAAGTGCCAAGGGCACTAAAGCACTAAATGTTGTTACTATTTTAGCCTGTGGGGTGTAAATGTAAGAATCACTTATTCTAAAACTTGTTGACATTTTTGGCATAACAAATCCATAAGTATCAAAGAGCTTAAAAAAAGCTGAATAATGTTCTTTTATCACTTAAGTGATAATAACATGTTTGTTGGAGAAAACAGAAGGCTGAGTTAGGTGGAGGGTGGTGGTTGAAACCGAGCCGTTGGCTCCTTAAAATGATAAGTTTTTAAGTGCGCGACATTCCAACTGTTTGTGATGTTTTTTCCCTCTAGAGTTTGTAGTTGGTATTCTCCTTTGCCGACGACTTTGATGATCGGGTAAGGTCTCTCCCAAGTGGGTCGAGCTTACCAGTGCTTGGCACCTTTCTATTTTAGAAGACTTGTCATAAAACCCAATCGCCGACTTTGGAGATTCGTGCTTGGATATTCTTGTTGTAATGTTGGGCTACCTTTTGTTAGTATGTGGCGTTCCAGATCATAGCTCAATCTCGTAGCTCGTCGGTGAGGTCGAGGTTGTGGCAGAGTTGTTAGCTGTTGCAATCTTCATCTGCCCATTAAAGCCATGCCGAAGGACATCCTACTTTTGTAGGGATGATAGCTTCTAAGCCGTATGCCAATGAAAAGGGTGTTTCTCCAATGGATGACTATGCGGTGGGGCAGTAGGATCACAATACTCTAGGAAGTTTGTCTACCCAAGCACCCTTTGATTTTTGTAGTCTCTTCTTCAATGTCTAGAGAATGGTATTATTCGAGGATTCGGTGTGTTCGTTGGCCTAGGGGTATCAAGGTGTGGAGAAGCTCAATTTGATGGTCCACGTCCAGCAGAAGTCTTGAAAGTTCAAACTGATAAACTGGGAGCCGTTGTCTGTGACTATCTTCTTAGGTAGGCCGAACCGGCAAATGATGTTCCAAATGAAATTTTTAACTTCGAGATCCCTAATTTGGGTAAAGGCTTCTGCTTCTATCCATTTGGTGAAGTAGTCGGTGACCGCGAGCATGTACACTCGTTGTCCTAGTGCGGTGGGTAGCTTTTCAACTATATCCATTCTCCACTTCATGAACAGCCACGGAGTGAAATTTTTAACTTCGAGATCCCTAATTTGGGCAAAGGCTTCTGCTTCTATCCATTTGGTGAAGTAGTCGGTGACCGCGAGCATGTACACTCGTTGTCCTAGTGCGGTGGGTAGCTTTTCAACTATATCTATTCTCCACTTCATGAACAGCCACGGAGTGATTATGGAGCTGAGCCGTTCTGACGAAAGAAGTGATACCTTGGAAAAGCGCTGGTGGCTGTCACACGTCTTTGAGTATTTGATCGCGTTAGAACGCATGGTGGGCTAGTAGTAGTCGGCTGTCAATGCCCTGTTTGCGAGACTCCGACCCCAGACGTGATTGCCACACTCGCCTTCGTAGAGCACTTTGAGTGCGTACTTTGCTTCTTCTAGGGTGATGCAATTGAGGTACAGTCCTAAGAATGATCTTCTAAGTAGGCGGCCATCATGGACGATGAACCGTGCCGCTTTAGTTCTGATGCGCCGCGCTTCGTTTTTATCTTGTGGAAGTTCATTGTTCTCTAAGTAGCATGATAAGAGCTTGAAAATACACATTTAGTTAGTGGTTTTTGGGGGATTAATTGTGGGAAATTAAGCTTAATTTGGTAAAGTTGCTTAATATTTTCATAACTGCCTTTTACGGGACCACGGGTGTTTTTTATTGTTTTTCAGGTTACTTGTGCTTAAATGTTATGCTCGAATGAAGAATCATATTTGCAACAGAATGAGTGACGAGTGGAAACAAACGGATCAAGAATCGGAGTTGAATTGAAGAAGTTAGGGAAGTTGAAGTAAAGAGAAGATTCTAGATTACGTTTCAACTTGCGCATGTCTCGGTATTTTGATAATATCTTGAGATGTAGATCTCAAATTAAGACAATTCTTGGACTGTTGGATATCTTATTCCAAGGGCTACATTTCATATGTTTACAACTTTCCCAAATATCATTGTTATCGAGTCCAAAAATCAACATCTTTGAAGAATCGTGGAATGATGCGGGAAAAGGGCAGCAGCTACTGTGCCGCGACACACTTTTTTCAGTAGCTACTATGCCACAGCACAGTGCCATGGTACAGTTACAGAAGTCACTAGTTTGTTGTCCCTTTTTAGCCAGGAGAATAGGGTTAAGGGGTCCAAATCAAATAGAATTGAGGAAAAACAAACCCTAACCCTTGTGGGATATAAATAGAAGTCTTTTAGCATTATTTAGGGGATTCTTTGGTGAGAAGAAAGCGAGAAAAATCTGGAGAGAAGAGAAGTAACAGAAATTCTAGAGCTTTGATTCACAATATAGAGAAGTTTTCCTCACTCTTTTCTTGTAAACTCATGATGAATGTTTTAATAAAGATGATTGTTTCTTTCATTTTTATTATGAACTAATTTTATTCTCTAGGGCTAAGATGTAGCCCAATCTCTTAATTATGTATTGATCTTTGATTGTTAATGTTTATTAAGAATTCTTCCTAAGTTTTACTATTATTTCTAATGCTTTTGATTCTTAAGGGCCCAAGAATTGAATGAACTAATGGACTAAGTTGAGATCGAGAGATGATACTTAGTTGGTCTACGGTAGTAAAACCATAGGTTGAGCGAACGCTAGAGATAGGTTACCGCGACTTGTGAGGTTTTGGTAAACTCCATTGAGCGTAATGATCCCCAAATGCTTAAATCTGATTAGAGATAATTCGGGTTTGTAATTAGGGATTAATTTGATAATTGTTTGAGAGAAAATTATTGGAAATTTAAGGAGTTTGACCTGTAGGAAGAGCTTAATAAAATTAGCACAAGAGATCGATATATATGAATAGAGTTGGTGTGAAATCTATGCCCTAGGTCTAGTCATCTTGTTTTTACCCAAAGATTCATTTTAATTGTTATCTTTTCAGTTATCTTTTTAAATTCAATTATTGATTTAGTTTAGATTTCCCTTGATACAATTTGGATTGATCAAATAGTAATAGGATAGTTTAATTGGTAATTGATAATAGTAATTTCCTTGGGTTCGATATCCGTATTTATACACTTTATTACTTGTACGATTTCGTACACTTGCGAAAATCAACAACAAGTTTTTGGCGCCATTGCCGGGGAATTATTATATTATCAATATCAATACAAGCTATTTAGTTGCTAATTTGGTTTGTAATTCATTTATTTATTTATTTCTTTTATTTTAGTGCTTTAATTTTTATTTCTGTTTTTTTAGTGTTGGACTGTACAGAGGAGTTAGGTTCAATGGCAGATACAGGAGGAGAAGAAGTTCAAAGGGCACTTAAGGATTACTCAAGACCTACAATTGAGGGATGTGCTTCTAGTATTAGGAGACCATCGATTCAAGCAAATACCTTCGAAATAAAGCCAAACACTATTTAGATGATACAACATTCGATTCAATTCGCAGGGTTGTCTAGCTATGATCCTAATTTACATATCGCAAATTTTCTAGAGCTATGTGATACATTTTGACATAATGGGGTATCTGATGATGCAATTAGGTTAAGGCTTTTCCCATTCTCTCTTCGGGATAAAGCTAAGGCTTGGTTGATTTCTCTGCCATCTGGGAGCATCACAACTTGGAATGAGTTAGCTCAAACATTCCTCACTAAATATTTTCCACCTGCCAAGTCTGCCAAGCTGAGGAGTGAGATTACGAACTTTTACCAACAAGATTCAGAGTCATTGTATGAAGCATGGGAAAGGTATAAGGATCTCTTACGGAGGTGCCCTCACCATGGTTTACCACTCTGGTCCCAAGTACAAACGTTCTACCAAGGGTTGCTACCAACTATTCAAGTTATGATTGATGCTGCAAGTAGGGGAGCCTTGAACAATAAAACGCAAAGGACGCATACAATCTGATTGAGGTGATGGTGAACAATAACTATATGAGGACTCTAGAGAGAAATTCAACGGGGAAAGCAGTGGGAGTGCATGAAGTTGATGGTTACACCGCATTGGCTGCTCAACTCTCCACCATTCAAAAGCAATTGGGAGTTGCTCTAAAGGTAAATGCTATTGAATCTTCTTCTCTAATATGTGACCTTTGTGTAGGAAATCATTTATCGAAGGATTGCTAAAAAGGGAACTCATTTGCTCAGCCTAAACAAGCCAATTACGTCAATAATTTCCAAAGGGGGCAAGGGAATCCATATTCCAATACATATAATCCAACATGGAGGAAACACCCGAACTTTTCATGGAACAACAACAATGAGCAAAAACAAGCTCCTGTTTTTTAACCTCAAGAGCCAAAATCTGATTTAGAGAATGTGTTGACCAAGTTCATTAAAGAGACAAGCAAGAGGTTTGAGAAGACTTACGTCCTAGTTCAAAATCAATCAGCTTCGGAACCTTGAGACTCAAATTGGGCAAATCCACAATATTTTAGCGGGAAGAGTTCAAGGGATATTGCCAAGCGATACAGAGAAGAATCCAAATGAGAGAGTTAATGCTGTCATACTGAGAAGTGGTAAATAGTTGAAGGAGGTAAGGAAGGAAGACAAAACAAAGGAAAAACTCGAAGAAGAAAAAGAGGGCACAGGAGAAAAAAATGTCAAAAATGCCCAAGCTTCGACAAACAATCACTCGACACTCCCGTATCCTTATAGAGTGAAAAAACAGAGATTGGATAAGCAATTCGATAAGTTTATGGACATGTTTAGAACTTTACACATTAACATTCCTTTTGTAGACATGTTGGAGCAAATGCCGAAGTACGCAAAGTTTTTGAAGGAGATTATCACCAACAAGAGGAGGTTTGAAGAACATGAGACGGTGATGCTTACGGAAGAGTGTAGCACATTGCTATTGAAGAAATTACCACAAAAGCTCAGAGATCCAGGGAGTTTCACAATTCCTTGCACAATAGGTAATGTTCATTTTGATAAAGTTTTATGTGACTTAGGGGCTAGTGTTAACCTTATGTCATTTTCGATTTATAAGAAACTAGGCCTAGGGGAAGTAAAACCAACCACAGTCCATCTTCAACTAGCTGATAGGTCTATAAAATACCCCAGGGGAGTAGTAGAAGATGTATTGATCAAGGTAGATAAGTTGATTTTCCCGGTGAATTTTATTGTTCTTGACATAGAAGAAGATTGGGAAGTACCTCTAATTCTAGGAAGACCTTTTCTAGCTATGGGTAGAACGCTGATAGATGTTCATAAAGGAAAACTAATCTTGAGGGTAGAGGATGAACAAGTTGAATTTAATGTTTTTGATCCTATGAAATGTCCACCCAAGTTAGATACTTGCTTTGAGATTAGCATCCTTGATGATAAAGTAGCTGCGATCTTAGAAGAAAAACACCCTCGTTTACCCCTAGAAAAATATGTTGTCAATTTTAGGACGTTGGAGGAGGAAATTGAGAATAAGAGGGAAAGAGAGCAATTGAAACTTTATGTAGATGGTGGCATTACGGATAGAAGGGTTTGGATTTTCCTAGATGATCCAGATTGAAGGAGTCAAAAAGTTGAGCTTACGACTCTAATAAAGCGCTTCTTGGGAGGCAACCCAAGCTCTTTAATGTAGTTTTGATTTTTGTTTTGAATTTATTTTAGATTTTCGTTTAATGTGTTAAGTTGTGGTAACTTTGATTTGGTTTGATATGTTAGTTGTTTATGTTTCACCCGTTATTTTTGTTAGGCACTCTAAATTGGCCAAGCATGGCACATAGTTTGTTTTCTTTTGGATTAGATTCCCGATGACTATTGGATACAACAAACAATATGCATGCCTTCATAAGATTATCTCCATATAAATGTTTCGCACGAAACATAGTGTGGTTGTTCTCTCTACATATTAAGGACAATGATCATCTCTAACGTTGGGGGTAGGAATATTTTCTTATGGTCAAATTGTTTTTGTGCTTTGAATTATCTCTTTAAAAGCTTTTGGGTGAAATTGTTTTAGGTATGGTTTTCATACATAAGTCAATGATAAGACCATGATAGTGAATTTGTAACATTGAGATTTTATTAACTTTTGCGTAATGTAAAGATGATAGTAGATGACAATTACATTTAGTTATGACTCTCTTGGGAATGGGTTTGATTGGTTGAATACTTCAGAAACTTGGAGACGTTTTACGTGTGTTTTTATGGGCAATAATTTTTTTTGTGAAAATTGGGCATACACTCTAGAACTCATTTGATAACCACTTGAGGCGAAATCCTAGAATCTGCATTACTTAGGATATGATTTAAGCAATTTTCTTTGGAACGATTGAGCCTTTCAAGCCAACCTATATTATTTTATCCCTAGTCAACCCTTTGAGCCTATATATACACTTGGTAAGCCTTATTTTTTGTTTTTGTAAACCTACTATATCTCACCTTGACGATGAAGCCTAAAAGACTTTCCAACCCATTTTATTGTGAGAGACTTAATTTAGGGTGACCTTATAAGAAAAACTCATGAAAAGAAGTGTGGTAGAAGAAAATGAATATATTTTTTTTGGACCACAACCTGAGTATGTGCAATGAGATAGGTTGGGGGTTGTGAAAAGAACAAAAAAAAAAAAAAAATGATGATAGTAGAAGCAAGGTGGAGTAGACGAATTTTGTTTTGAGTTACTATCTTCCTTAAAAAAAATAATAATAAATAAATAAATTTACAGAAAAATAGGAAGAAGTAACTGGGGAGAAGAACTTGAAATGAGGTACATTACATGTGGGTTTGTGCTAATGTTGGAAGGAAGAGTTCAATCAATGTGAAAGGGTAAAGGATGAATGAGAAGGGAAGCAAGAAAGAGATTGTTCATGGTCATTTACTGTAAAATATTAAGTCTCTTACATTTTGTTAAAAATTCCTTTCTGTTCTTTCATAAACCATTACCCTAGCCTAACGTTACAACCTTGAAAAAGACCTAATGATCTGAGGTAGTGATTGGATTCTACATTAGTGGAGAGTGGTTAGAAAAGTGAGCCTATGGAGTTTGATTGCACAATTGTTTTATTTTCGTACTTTGCCTATGGAAGCTATGCATAAAATCATCTGGGCTTTTGGATGAATGGTTTGTGAATGATTATGAGAGAGTTAATAACAAAAGTGTAGTTGAAATTCACTTATTCTTTGCGTTTGCATGTTGTTAATTATTCGATTTGTTCATACTGACACAATTTTTGAGACGATTATATTTATGAATCCTAAAATGTTTGTTTGAGTCTTTAGTTTTGAGTCTAGGTGAGGTTAGGTTAGGATGTTTGTGGGTATCATCGTTGGAAACCCTCACGAGACTATAACTCATCCAACTAGGGCCGCCTAGGGGTTTAAAGGCTTGTTGCATATGCTAAATGCAACCGTGGCAATCTACGGAAGTGATTTAGGATAGTTTAGATATAGACTTTATTTTGTTTGTGTTTTCAAGCTAAAGGACTTGTTATATAGCTTAGCGTGCTAGGGACTAGCAAGAAGCTAGTTAGGGTTGTGATAAGAGCTTGAAAATACACATTTAGTTAGTGGTTTTTGGGGGATTAATTGTGGGAATTTAGGCTTAATTTGGTAAAGTTGCTTAATATTTTCATAATTGCCTCTTACGGGACCATGAGTGTTTTTGAGTGTTTTTCAGGTTACTTGTGCTTAAATGTTATGCTCAAATGAAGAATCATGTTTGCACCGGAATGAGTGACGAGTGGAAACAAACGGATCAAGAATCGGAGTTGAATTGAAGAAGTTATGGAAGTTGAAGTAAAGAGAAGATTCTAGATTACGATCCAGCTTACGCATGCCTCGGTATTTTGATAATATCTTGAGATGTAGAACTCAGATTAAGACAATTATTAGACCGTTGGAAAGCTTATTCCAAGGGCTACATTTCATATGTTTACAACTTTCCCAAATATCATCGTTATCGAGTCCAAAAATCAACATCTTTGAAGAATCGTGGAATGATGCGGGAAAAGGGCAGCAGCTACTGTGCTGCGACACACTTTTTTCAGTAGCTACTATGCCACAGCACAGTGCCATGGTACAGTTACAGAAGTCACTAGTTTTTTGTCCATTTTTAGCCAGGAGAATAGGGTTAAAGGGTCCAAATCAAATAGAATTAAGGAAAAAAAAACCCTAACCCTTGTGGGATATAAATAGAAGTCTTTTAGCATTATTTAGGGGATGTAATGCCCCACCTGAGGTACGTAGCTAACGTTTCTTCTTTTGCTCTTATTTGAGTTGGTTTATTAGTATTATTGTTTGGTTGACAAGGTGTGTTGAATACTTGCCCTGAAATTGGTTGAAATAGAAGAAGTTCAGTGTTCCATGCTTCGCAGGGGCGAAGAAGAATCTTCGCCGCGGCAAAGAGGTGTTGAAGCCACGGGAAGCTGCTGGACAGTTTCACCGCGGCGACGTGCCAACCAAAATGTTTGTTAAGTTTTAGATATTTTCTTCCCTAAGGGCAATTTGACCAATCTACCCCTAATTAGCAGGAAAAGTGGGGAGTAAAATGTAAGAAATTTTCATGGAGAATATGTTGTTATGGGGGTGTGTTTGTAATGAATCAAAGGATATAGTAGATAGAATTCCCAAAGAAGAGTAAGGGCAAAATGGGAATGCTTGTGTATAAATTTATAAAAGGAATTAAGTCATTGCAAACCTTCATTCTTCTTCTCCATCGCCACTCTCCTCTCTTGCTTCCTCCAAATTCTCTTTCTTTTGTTCAAGGAGTTTTAAAGGGCTTTTAGAGTGATTTGGGGTAGAAAATCAATCTAAGGCATCCTAAGGTAAGGATTCTTGCTTTGGTTGTGAAGCTTTGTGAGTTTTTGAATATATTTGTTTATTGAGGGTTTTTGTTCATTTGTTTAAGAGTAGAGAAAAAGTCAAGCAAACCAGGAAAGGAGAGCTAGTGAAATCTCTCCATAACAAGGTAAGTAAATCTCAACCCAAGTTGAGATTTGAGAATTTTCTTGATTAGGGTTTTTGATAGCAATTATGTATGTATGTCACATACAGTTATATGCCACGTTATTGAGTCTTAAATGGAGATTACTAGTGCTTTGTGATTGGTTATACATTTCACATATAAGAAGTGAGATGTGGGTTGGAAAGGTAGTTTGAGATGGAATTGAAGGATATTGAGAAATCCTTTTTGGAAGTGTCTTTTGGCATGATTATGGTATGTGAGGGAGTTTCTCCCCATTTGGATGGTTAGAGAAGACTTAGAATTATTGTTATAGTAGAGTTTTATTATGCACTTGAGTGTGTTGATGAAATGCTAATAGAGGTTTGAGTATGAGTAGTGAACCTTAATTCTTGCAACATTGCATGTTGGCATTTCATAAGTACATTAGTGGGGATGAACCATCCATAGGCATAATTGTGCATTGAGAAGTGACCTAAGAAAGGTAGGAAACTTTGTGTATGCACTTGTCTATGAGTAGAGAACTTTGTGATGAACTACTCTAAGGGTAGAGAGAATGAGAAGTGCTAGAGTAGAGTGAATGAGAAGAGTAGTAGAAATGGGTTGATGCGTGATCATCACCCGACAGTTATGAGAATGGGTTGATGCTTTGTGATCATCACCCGAATAGCCATTAGAAATGGGTTGATGCTTTGTGATCATCATCCGATAGGTAGTAGAAACGGGTGGATGCTTTGTGATCATCACCCGGTTAGTTATTAGAAAGAGGTTGATGCTTTGTGATCATCACTGACATTTATTAGAAGTGGGTAATGCTTGTGATCATCACCGACAGTGATTAGGACAGAGTTAGTGCTTGTGATCGTCACCCGAAAGTCATGAGGAACGGTAGGTGCTTTGTGGTCTCAACGATAGTTACAAAAACCGGGTAGGTGCTTCGTGATCCCACATCGGTAGTCACTCAAAACGGATGGTGGTTGTGTGAACTCCACGACAGTCATGAAGAGTGAGATGGTGCTGTGTGAACGCCATCGGCCGTACCTCGGTAAGATGAGGCCATGGATTTAGTTAAAAAAAAAAAAAACAATCAGAAAACAGAAGTAGTGTAAGGAAAGAATTAAAAGAATTACTTACGGGGACAAACAGATAGAGGGTTTACTTACTGAGCATTATTTTCTGCTCACCCCGTTATTTTCCTTTGTGGATGCAGGATCTAGGTGATGATGCAGTCGGAGGGGCGTCGGCAAGCGAGGAGCAATAGCTACACTGTTTCCCCTGTTTTTGTCTTTTAAAATGGCTTTCTGTAAATGATGCTCTTTGTGTATAAAAGACTTATTACTTATAATAAAAAGTAAAGTTTTGGGCCCATTTTCTATTGTTATTATGCATGCATTGTACTAGTTTACAGCAGTTGTTACAGGGGATTCTTTGATGAGAAAAAATGGAGAAAAATCTAGAGAGAAGAGAAGTAACAAAAATTCTGGAGCTTTGATTCACAATATAGAGAAGTTTTCCTTACTCTTTTCTTGTAAACTCATGATAAATGTTTTAATAAAGATGATTGTTTCTTTCATGTTTATTATGAACTAATTTTATTCTCTAGGGC